GGTGACAACAGGTAACCGGCGCCGCGGGGGGACACGCCCCAGCCCGTGGTGTCTGACAGGTGACACAGACAGGTGACACAGGTGACAACAGGTAACCGGCGCCGCGGGGGGACACGGCCCAGCCCGTGGTGTCTGACAGGTGACACAGGTGACACAGACAGGTGACACAGACAGGTGACACACACAGGTGACACAGGTGAGAGATACTCAGGTGATTTTTTGGGGCCAATTCGATGAATTTTGAGGTAGAACCTCGGGGATTTTTCGGGGTTTTTTGCCTCCGTCACCTGTCCCCAGGTGTGCCCAGGTGTCCCCGGGTGTGCCCAGGTGTCCCCGGGTGTGCCCAGCTGTCCCCGGGTGTGCCCAAGTGTGCCCAGGTGTCCCCAGGTGTGCCCAGCTCTGCCCAGGTGTGCCCAGCTGTGCCCAGGTGTGCCCAGGTGTGCCCGGGTGTCCCCAGGTGTCCCCAGGTGTGCCCAGCTGTGCCCAGGTGTGCCCAGGTGTGCCCCCCGCGTACCTTCGGGGTCGGACCAGAGCAGGTCGCACATGGGGCCGTCGTGCGGCACCTCCTGCTTGCGGTCGATGGTGCGGATCTGGTCCAGGGTCTGGATGGACGGGGACAGCCCGCCGTGCACACAGAAAATCTGGGACAGGTGAGGGACAGGTGGGTCAGGTGAGACAGGTGGATCAGGTGACACAGGTGACACACCGGGGACGTTGGGGACATTTGGGATATTTGGGGACATTGGCGTCCCAACCCCCTCCACCTGCCCCAGGTGTGCCCAGGTGTGTCCCAGGTGTGTCACCTGTCCCCAGCTGTCCCCAGGTGTGCCCAGGTGTGTTCCCTGTCCCCAGCTGTCCCCAGGTGTCCCCAGGTGTCCCCAGCTGTCCCCAGGTGTGCTACCTGTCCCCAGGTGTCCCTAGGTGTCCCCAGGTGTGCCCAGGTGTGTTACCTGTCTCCAGGTGTGTTACCTGCCCCAGGTGCGCTCACCTTGCCATTGATGATGGCCAACAGGCTCAGGTAGTCGAAGATCTTGGTGTCCACCTGGCCCCAGGTGTGTCCCACCTGCCCCAGCTGTCCCCAGGTGTGCTACCTGTCCCCAGGTGTCCCCAGATGTCCCCAGGTGTCCCCAGGTGTGTTCCCTGCCCCCAGGTGTGTTCCCTGTTCCCAGGTGTGTTCCCTGTCCCCAGCTGTCCCCAGGTGTGTCCCAGGTGTGTTACCTGCCCCCAGGTGTGTTACCTGCCCCAGGTGCCTCACCTTGCCGTCGATGATGGCCGACAGGCTCAGGCACTCAGAGATCTCAGTGTCCCACCTGCCCCACGTGTCCCAGGTGTCTCCAGCTGTCCCCAGGTGTGTCACCTGTCCCCAGGTGTCCCCAGGTGTGCCCAGGTGTGTTACCTGCCCCAGGTGCGCTCACCTTGCCGTC